AATAAGGTTGTTGGGAGTGTTTGATGGCCATTAATGGTGGTTTAATGGCTCATTAATGATAATGTAAGTTGTTGGGATATAGTAAACCCATTGGGTATGATTGGGAGTAGGTTTATGATGTTGATAAAATGAGAATATGGAATTAGATGTTAGGAAAATTACTTAAAGAAGGATATTAATGAATGTCTTTGTGATTAGTTGTGGATTGTTTAATTTTGGTACCATTCAAAATACTTTGCAAGCTTGTGACTTGAGAGGTAAATCTTTGACATCTTAAAGGTTTAAGGTAATCAAAGAAAATCTTATTTGCATAGTTGTATGTTAATTATTTGTAAGTGATTTAAATCATTTGAGAATTATTTGAATGCTTGTGAACCCTTTGATGCAAACTTGGCAATGTATGAAATTGTTTTGACTTGCAGAAAACAATGTGCATATTTCTATTCATGTAATTGATAAAGAATGTGTGACCTTTGGCATAAGGAGAATAATGGATAAAGTAAATAGTATGGATGTGATATAATGTCAGTAATGGTGTTAACATGACATAATATGTGTCCATATGTATATAGCATGATCATTGGCGAGAGTTTCACCTGGGTAGAGGAGTAGATTGGTAAATTTATGTGGTACTAATGGCTTACTATTGGAATCAAAAACTTGCCTTGGCACCGATTGTTGAATTCGGAGGTAAATTTTGTTTGATGGATGATTTGGGGCAGTCCCACTTAGTTTTTAAAGGACTTAAACCTAACTATCTCCACCAGTTCATGAAGAGGCTAGATTAGGGATACGACATCCTATGGTTATTAGTATTAGAAATAACTGCGAAGCATGCGAGAATGAGTTTACCCTAGCTCGGTAGCTCCTTCCAAGTGGAAGGTTGGATTAGTCAAAATTGTGGACATAGCCATTTAATAGCCACCGGTTTTATGTAAGAGGTATCAACAGGGCATAAGGTTAGCATTGATTATGCATTTATAGTTTCAGCCATATGATTATTATTGTTATGCTTCGGTATGTGTTTTAGGGGCACATGGTTATTATTTTTTTGACCCTAAGATGTTTATAATTGTGATATATCAAATGATATGTGTTTCATGCTTGGTTACATGATTGTTATTGTTGTGGTCGAGGCTATATTTAATATATGCGTATATGAGTTTTGAATTCATTGCCATTTACATCCAAGTTAATTGATATGCAACTGTATAAACTCGATTGATCTTGGTTACTGAGTAGTCATACTTACTTCTCATTATTTAATAGTTTAAGGCCTAGCTTATCAGATTAGGGTCAAGGAAAATGATTAAAGGTATAGGATTTTGAGTGAATCATACTTGTAGGCCTCTTAGTTTTAAATTATATGTATTAAACATTGTTAATTTGCCAACTAAATTTCATTCTATTATTTTTGTCTACTTACATTATAATTATAATTGAAAGTATTTCATGTATTTCGTGCCCTAAGCTAGTGATGTATGATTGCAAAGCTTAAATAGGGTTAAAATACTAGTACAAATGGGGTAGATTGTAATTGGGTTGTTTTTGGTTGAATATTAGTGATTTTATGCAAGTTATCTCCCCCTTCTTATTTTTTATAAATCAAGGGGTTGAGTGGTGAATTTGTGTAATATGGGTAATTGATTGACTGTGGTGTGTTGCAAGAGTCCAAATTGGTCCATTAAGTGTGGTCTAAAGGTTGGTGCATGTATTATCTCCCTCACTAATACCTGATTAACTCAAATCTCAAGTAATTAAGGGATTATCTCAAAGTAACAACAACAAATTTGTCAAGTTATACAATGAGATCTCAAGTTTTCAATGTTTAAAATACTTCCATACACTTTCAATATTTCAAATCAGAATTTAAAACATGTATGGAAGCTTAGGAATCGAAGAAAGAATAAAAACATTTACATATAATATCAAAATAATGAATTGTGCAAAAAACATCACATGCGTTACGGCTTGTTGCAAATGCACCGTAGCATGCATGTTTTTGTGCCATGAGTCGTGGTACATTGTACAAATTTGACAACAAATTTTGCTGTTATTTGATAGCATTTGGGACGAATTTCTAACGTATCCAATTTCTCTGTTTGATGTTCGATTGAAGTGATTTAGGTGTCTATAGAGAGTTTTCTTCTAACTCTAGCTAGTGGCGCAAGTTTCACAACCCAATTTTTTTTATCAAAAGTTAGACACCTAATACTAATCTCACTTATTTTTTACATTATTTCACAACTAAGGTGTCCAAACCCCCACTCATGTGCCAAAAGTTTACACCAACTCTTAGATCAATTTAACAAACCATTTACGACTCGTGCAATACATACAACCATTCCAATATACAATTACCATAAATTCAACTCTCAACCCCTCAACTCATAAAAACACAAGGGGGCATTTTGTATAAAATCATACATATTCATATGAAGCAACCAAAATACACTTTACTCTACTTGCACTAGTATTTTAGCTTTATACAAGCTTTACAACCATACTATTATAAGCTCAAAGCACGAAATACACATAGTGTTTTCATTTATAATGCAAGTAGCTCAAAATAATAATATGAGTCATTGTGGCAAATTAACCATCAAAATATACATGAAAAAAAGCTAAAAGGCCTATAAATATGATTTACTCAAAATCTTATGTCTCTAATCATTTTCTCTGATCCTGATCTGATGAACTAGGCCTTGAAAATATTGAAGAATAAAGGGTGAGCACAACCACTCAGTAATTAAGGTCAACCTAGCCTATACAGTTACATATCAATTAAAAATGGATGTAAATGGAAATAAACATGAATATCATCCACATAAAGCAAATATAGCATCGACCATAATAATAACAACCATATGACCGAGCATGCAATTCACATAATCAGATATTACAATTATGCGCATCTTGGGGTCACAAAAATAACAATCGTGAGTCCTTAAAACACACCAGAACACAATAATAACAATTATATAGCTAGAACTAAATGCATAATCAATGTCAATCTTATACATCGTTGATACCTCTAACATGAAACTGGCAGCTATTAAGTAGCTATGTCCACACTCGAACTAACCTAGCCTTATACTCATAAGGAGCTACCAGACCAGAATTAACTCACTCACTTATGTATCATGTTTTTCCCCAATACTAACAATCATGGGATGTCATACTCCTAATCTAGTCTCCTCATGAATTGATAGAGATTAGTTAGGTTTGAGTCCCTTGAAGAACAAATGGGACATTCTCGAATTAACTATGAGATAGTGACTATCTCTTGATTCTAACGATTGATGTTAAGGCAAGCTTTTGATTTCAATAATAAGCCACCAATATCACATAAATTTACCAATCTAATCCTTTCCTTAAGCGAACTCTCACTAATAATCATGCTATACATATATTACACTTAATGTTATTTTAGCACAATTAATCACATCACATCATATTCACAAATTCCTTTCTCCATTATACTCCACATGCCAATTATCACATATATATCATTTTTATAATGAAATGCTCTCAATCATCATCATTAATTACATATGTATAAACATGCATATTGATATTCCAAACAACTCTGCACAATGTCTCACACACAATAAATACATTCTCAAAACTTGCATCAAAGAGTTTTCAAACACCCAATAAGTTCTAAACAATCTCATTTAATAAATAATTAATTAACATATAGCTATACAAACTAAATTTCCCCCAATTGCCTCAAACCTTTGAGAGATCAAAAGTTTACCTCTCAAAATACTAACTTTTAAAGCTTCTTCTCAAGCTTGAATGGTGCAGCTTAGGTTAATCTACAATAATATTACAAGGATAGCATCATTACCCTATTTTTGGGCAATTTCCAAGATTATAACTCCACATACTCTTTTTCATCAAAGTCATAAACTCACTACCTATTATATCTAATGGATTTACTAGGTCATAACAACTCACATTATCATTAATGAATTATTAAACCACCATTAATAGCCATTAAACACTCCCAACAACCTTATTTATTATCGTTTTTTAGGTGTTCATGGTCCCCAACTACTAATAACTTACAAAATCATTAATGTGGATTTTAAATATTCTAAACAACTCCCAGTATATTCATTTAATTAATGATTTTGGATCCATAACTCATATGGACTGAAAATCACTCTCCCAACTCAAATCTTAACTTAAACTTTTATAAAAATGGAAGGAAAGGGAAGAGGAAGACATAATGTACTTACCTATTACCTTGTGTGTTAGGAAGCTTCAAAATATCTCCAATAGTCCCCAAGTTTGTGCCCTAACAAAGCAATGAGTATGCTCTCATTTTCCCTTTCTCCCCTCTTCTGATTTTTTGAATAGACACAAATTGATTTAAGCAGAATTTTGGTCATGCGTCGTGGCCCACGCAGTCTCCTGCCACCGTGCGTGGCACAAAGAGGCCTAGCTCACTTTGGATGCCTCCATGCTTCGCAACAGATGTTCCTTATACTGCGACATATGGCACAGAGAATCTTTTTTCTATTTGTTCTCACCTTTTAATACCTAGATGGCCCAACTTTATTTTGAACCTACATTTAGGTCAAAGTATGGAGAGAGAGTTTGATGAAGGTAGGAGTGAGGGAGTTTGATAAAAGGGCCACTTGTCAAATTGCGTGGGCCCATAACCTTAAGTTTAGATTTGATGGGGAGTAGTAGTTGATAATTTATTTTGTATCATTTCATAATTTAGGTATTCAATGATTTTCTTAAAAAATTTGTAACTAAATTTGCTTGTTTACTCTCTTTTAAATTATTTTTTGGAATACTAAAACACAAATGAATCTTTTTTTTAATTGCTGGCCAAAAATATGTCTTTTTTTTTTTACTGAATGGTGACAATTCCTCTTGCCCCAATGATTAGACTGTCCTGCCAACCTGGATTTGGGACGCCTCGTGGGGTCAATGGCGGGTGATGAAATGGTTCCACTGTCTATCTCTCTCTAACTCGATGACTATTTGCAACGAGTCAACTCTCTCTCTCTCTAGTTGATTTTTATTTTTCACCTATTTCAAAGAAAGCTTTCGCGATTGCTTCTTGTTCCGTTGGTCCTTTCTCGTTTCATCAGATGCAAGCCCTCAACCCCATCTCCCCGTCCTCCTCCAGTCTTCCAATCACCACTATTTAGTATTTACCATGGGACAGGAAGATATTTGTAGCGTGATCAACTTTCCTCCAGAATTCCATCGTGGTATTTGTGTTTAATCGTGAAATTAAAGTAGGGTTTTCCAAAGGACCCTCGCCGTTTCTTACAAGTTGGGGAAGGTACACTTCTTTGGAAGCTCAGTTTTGCTTTCAATATCAATACTAAAGTTTTCTTTCTTCTCCTCGTTCTCTGCTTCTTCTCGCGGTCAGTTTTACAGTTCCTCTGAGAGACTCTTCCTTTAACTCGTTGCTTTGGTCGGTCATCATCAGTTCAGTATATTTTTGACTTAGGCCGAGCTTCGTTTTGATTTAGTCTGAATTTCTTGCAATAGCACTCAGTTTTTAAGATAATTCTTCTGAAAAACAAGTAGGATCGATTTGTTTATAGCACTGGGAGGTTTCTAAATTACAGTCATAATTATTAACACTGAAGCATTCACTAATTTTTTATCATTTTTCATGGTCTCACTTCTCATTGAACTGGAAGAATCATGGCATTTAAATGGACTCTGACTTCATCCGTTTAACAATTCAATGATTTTTTTTAATTAGCTTTTGATATTAATTAATTATAAATTCCAATTTGGATGTTTGATGCTATTCTAATGAGCTCAAGATTGACATCTGTATTTTAAGCATCTCAATTAGGTGGGTCGTACTTTCAAATAATTTTCTCAGCTACTGCATGATTTCATAGTATCAAAGTTTCTTCGTGATATTGATATCACTACCATGATGCTCATAAACTGTCACTAATTGTTAGTTCCACAAATCTCCCTATGTCGTCATCTTTGTTGTCATAGGCCGCTTGATATGATGGCTACAAGCTGGGATGGAAGTAATGACCCTGGCAGCCAGTCTGATGAGAGCTACCACTTTGAGAGGCTGCATATTGAGCCTATTTATGATGCCTTTGTATGTCCACTGACAAAGCAAGTTATGCGTGATCCTGTTACATTGGAAACTGGACAGACTTTTGAACGTGAAGCAATTGAAAAATGGTTCAAGGAATGCAAGGAGAGTGGGCGTAAACTAGTTTGCCCTTTGACTCTGAAAGAACTAAAAAGCATAGAACTAAATCCCAGTATTGCTTTGCGTAACACCATTGAAGAGTGGACTGCAAGGAATGAAGCAGCGCAGCTGGACATGGCTCGCAGGTCATTGAACATGGGTAGTCCTGAAAATGATACATTACAGGCTTTACATTATGTCCAACACATCTGCCAAAGAAGCCGGTCTAATAAGCATCTTGTCCGTAGTGCGGGGCTTATACCTATGATTGTTGACATGTTGAAGAGCAGCAGCCGTAAGGTTCGTTGTACGGCTTTGGGAACCCTTAGGATTGTCGTGGAAGAAGACAATGAGAATAAGGTTGTCACAGGTTTGCTGGTTATCTTTTCTTTTTTATTTATTGTTTGATATCATCAGTGTGATTAACTTTGAGGCTGCTTGGTAACGTCTTTTCTTTGCTCCAAAGGACTTGTTGGCTGAAGGGGATACTGTGCGCACAATAGTAAAATTCCTTTCTCATGAACTCTCTAAAGAAAGAGAGGAAGCTGTGTCTTTGCTTTATGAGCTCTCAAAATCAGAAACTTTGTGTGAGAAGATAGGTTCAATCAATGGGGCTATTCTAATATTAGTTGGAATGACAAGCAGCAAATCAGAAGATATCTTGACTGTGAGAAGGCTGAAAAAACATTGGAGAATCTGGAAAAGTGTGAGAATAATGTGCGACAAATGGCTGAAAATGGTAGACTGCAGCCTCTTCTGACACAGCTCCTTGAAGGTGCTCATGTTCCCTAAGATTTTTTCTCAAATTATACCTGTCTTCTGTGGTCAACTTATGCACCGTTCTTTTTATTTTTCTGCTGAACCATCATGCATTATTTTAAAGACGCTGTGCTGGAGCTTTCTTTTCTTTATAAGAATATTTTGATGGGCATGCGCATGAATGATTATCTCATAATGGGTATCATAATATGAATATGGTAACCTTCTTTGTGAGAGGTGCATGTTGTGGAAGTCTCCTATTGAAGATTGATAAATATATTTTTTTCTTGTTATCACCCCCCCCAAAAAAAAAACAAAGGGGAACTTTAGCCTGACTATATAATTTGATATACAAACCTTAACATGACAGCATACATAACAGTTTACCCCCCCTACACTATCATAACAGTAAAACTTAATTTTTTAGTTAAAACTAGTATCTTAGAATTGGGAGTTTGGGGAAATGCAGATAAGAAAAATTGGTGAGAGATTGGTTAACGCAATCATGTAGCCTTTAGATGTCAGTTTTTACTAAAATGTAAGATTTCTTTTTTTTTTTTAGAATAGCTTAGGAAAGTCAAGTATTATTACTTTTAAAGTTTATGTGTCACCATTATAATCAAGCTGTGGCCTATTTTACTGCTG